CTTCTTCAAGAAGGAGAAAATGAGGTTTCTGTTGTTAGAGGAGGCAGCGAAGATTGCCTTTGCAGTTCCAGATGAAAGAATGAAGTTTTGTTTATTCTCTAACACCAAACGAAAGAGAAGATGCTAATTCCTTGTCTGCCGTACATGCATCGTCACACCAGCATTCTCCTATTCCAAGATCAACACCGATTTTGCTTGGTTTTGTGTTTTGCAGGTTTCACCTCTGGGCAGATTGCCTTTATTGAGTAGGAAGGTCAAAAATTGGACTCGCACAGCGTAGAGGGCAGGTCTTTCAAGATGGAAAGTCATTTGCTTCTCAGTAGCATCTTCTGATGTACAAAATGGGAGCGGTACCAAAGGTTTGATATTTCACAGAAATTTAACGCCCTGTTAGTTCCAATCTGCCAGTCGCCTTCCCTTGCTTGCTGGGGCCTCTGGCCTGCATCGATCTGGGCTACGCGTTTCCCTCTCTCCGCGCAGCGCCGAAGCCCCGTGTCGGAGCCCGTGCTCTGGGCTCGCCATGGCTTGAGGTCGGCATGGGGGCTGTTGGCTTACACAGCTCTTGCAAAGTGAAGGACTCTGTTCTGTTCAATATTTACTAATGCGTATCAAAAAAGAGGTGTGTTTTCTGCAAATAGCCATTACTCCTTCACATAAGAACTTTTTTCTCAATTTGCTTCACACCTTTATTTATTTTCTGCCTGTGCTCATTCACCAGCCCTCGCCTGAGTCCCCCTGCCCTGCGTCTCCAGGGCGGGATGTCCAGTGGAATTACCGACGGGGTTTTATTCCCCGCTCCGGAGACACCCGTCGCTGTTGGCCTGCTCTGCCCTCCGTCCTTACCGCACCGCATACGGTAACCTGGGCGGGTGCAGTGATCAGAAATTACTCAGAGTTGTCCCAGCGCTGTTCCCGTTGTAGTTCCCATTAATTTAGGCAAAGCGACACGCTGAGACGTCCGTAGGATTTCCAGAGCTGGTTTTGTCTGGGCCCGTCCCTGTAAATGTGTCTTTAAGCAATTTTGAAAGAAAGAAAATGCCACCCGAACAAAGCAACTTAAAAAACCCCCAAACTGTATTTATCATAACTGACAACTTCTTAGCAGAAGGTAATTTATACAGCTGTGATCATGCAGTAATTGCGATTTGTCACGGACTAATATTTACTTTTTTGACTAATTTAAAATCCATTAATTATACTACATACAAATTAAGAACAAAGCGTTGTGTTGGTCTCTGAATGCGTAATTGCAATTAAGATTCTTGCAGAAAGAAGATGGGTAGGGGTAATCTGGACCACGAGTTGCTTGTTCTTCTGTCTTTGTGTTCCTGTGCAATTAATTTATCCTGCTGTGGGGCAGAGGAAAGAACGCTTCTTTGCAGCTGGGCTGTAGCAGAGTATTTTTACGAGCCCGCGTAACGAGGGCTGGTAGCACGGCTGGTTGACCAACAGCGGAGTAGTCACGTCTGCTCGTTCGGCGAGAGGCTCCGAGCGGCGTCGCTGGCCCCGGTTGCGAGCGACTTTGCTGAAGCAGATGAGGTCATTTCGGGTGAGAATGTCGACGCCGGGAGGGTTGGAGTGGCAGGAGGTCCCTGCAGAAGTCTGTATTTCTCCCTTCTTAGTGGCATTTGGCTCTTAAACATTTAGTGATGCCTTAGGACTGAAAATATTAGAGTTTTGTCAGGAATTACAAATCTGAGTGAGGGTAATGTGAGTGATGTTCCCCATTACAGGAGCGGCATCGGAGCGGTATCGCCGTCTGATGCTCTCTTATGAGTTGAACTACATCCCGGTTTGTGAGGCTCATTTGCAAGATTATGTGCTGGGTGTGGGGTGGAGGAAGGGTCTGACTTTTAAGTATGCATAAAGTGAGGATTTCACAACTGCAGTACAGCAGATTAAATATTGAAGTAGATATAGCTAAAAAAAAGATCATAAAACCATTTCACTGTTTCCCCCAATAAAATTTAAATTACCTAAGTTAATAGCAAGGGGGGGAGACTTTTCTTTCCAATAAAGCCAGAGAAAAAGGGAAGAATGGGAAAAATGGGAAAAAAATCTTTATCTCAGTGGGTATTTTGAGAAAAAAAATTATTTTTGCAGTAGTTTACAAAATACTTGTTACGTGTTTTCTTTCAAAATATTGTCTTATGCTGAAAATCTGGAAGAACTAAGGAAAGCTGACACATAACACAGCACACACATGCAATGTTAACATCCCCTGGTTCATCAGCGGTGATTCCCAGATCTCCTTGGCCCGTCGGTGTGGTCAAAACCGAACCCTTTTTGCAGGCGTTTGTGTTGATGCTGCAATGCTAAAACTTTTGATTGACACCACTGTAAATTACGTCGTGGTTCTGTGTGCCTCTGGGAGCCACTTCCAGGGTTTTTTGCATATCATTTTTCAGCAATCACAGGTTGGGTATTATTGACGTTCAAGCTGAAATTATGTAAAATTTGAACAAACTGCGCATGCCATTCTGCTTTTAATTTCTCTGCTAGTACGTGGAAAGCATCCAGAAAGCTGTGCTTTTCGCCTTACCTAAACCTTTGCCCGGTCCTCGGGTTGTCCAGCGCTGGCCTGTGGAGCTTCTCGCTTTTGCCAGGCTTTCCATAACGTCTGCTGCAGGTGGACTGGAAAGCGCTGGCAGCTCTGAGCTGCGTTCTCCCTGCCCGTCACGAATCACGCCAGCATCCCTCCCTCCATCCCTCCATCCCTCCATCCCTCCATCCCTCCATCCCTCCATCCATCCATCCATCCATCCATCCATCCATCCATCCATCCATCCATCCCAAGGCTCCCGCTGCTGGTCCCTGCATCCCGCTCTGATCACTGAGCTGGCGACTGGGCAGCAGCTTCGTTACTGGGAGTCGGGGAAAAGCCGGCTGCTTCCCAACGAGCCTTCGTCCCGGCGGGATCTGGCTGCGTCGTGGCAGCCATCCATCCATCCATCCATCCATCCCAAGGCTCCCGCTGCTGGTCCCTGCATCCCGCTCTGATCACTGAGCTGGCGACTGGGCAGCAGCTTCGTTACTGGGAGTCGGGGAAAAGCCGGCTGCTTCCCAACGAGCCTTCGTCCCGGCGGGATCTGGCTGGGTCGTGGCTGTCCCAGCCCATCCTGCCCTCGGTGGCCGTACCTGCTGCAGGGTTTGGATGTTCAGCGGCCACGTCACGAGGCTCGGTGCTGCACAGCCTCGCACGGACCTCATTGCTTAAAGCTCAGTGTGATGGAGGGGTGAAGCCGACCGTGCGTTGGCTTAGTGTGAAGCCGTGGTACGGACATCCCGGCATGGTGAGGCTTAGAAGACTTGTGTTCCTCGAGAAGCTTGTGAGATGACAGGTGACTGAAGAAAGATGTCATTCAAGGTTGCATTTTTCAGCGCTAGAAAGTCTTCTTGCTCCTTGGTATTTGGGCCTTTACATCAGGCAAAACCCACTCGTTGGTGTAGGTTAAGACGTGGATATTCTGTCTCCGTACCTTACAACCATCTTCAGCTTGTGCTCAACTTTTTCCTTCCAGTGATTGCAGTAAGGGTTTCCCTTATATCTTTATCAACCTTCCAAACTCATTGCTTTATTATGAACAGAATATTATAGGAAAATTTTAGAGAATATGGTGAAAGTAACGTAAGGTCCTGTGCAGCCTGCTGTAGGTGACCCTGCTTCGGCAGGGGGGTTGGACTAGATGACCCACAGAGGTCCCTTCCAACCCGTACTATTCTGTGATTCTGTGATTCTGTAATGGGAGAAAAAGAAGCTTCAAGCTCTTGGTTGAAAACTTTCTGAATCAGAAACTTGTATTCCTACAGAAATGAGTGAACTTGAAAACAGGGGTCTGGAGCCGCACCGTTGCTGGTCGACGGCCTGGACAGCTGGAAATCCGGCTCTTCCCAGTCTGGTAACATTTCGACAGCAAAGCAATATACTCTTCCATGCATAATATTATGCTGTAGAAGATTAGGACAGCTTTAGATGCTACCGTGTACACAAGTGTTGGTTTAAAAGAAGTCAACAAGAACATTTTGTTTGGTTGTTTTTTTCTGGGTGGGAAAACCTCCCAGCGCTGGGGCGAGCCTGGATGTCTCCCCGCTTAGTTTCTATTGCCCGTATGAGCCCATAAAATAATTACAATCTACTCATGGAGAAGCTGCTGGCTTTCAGTGCCATTGGCATTATAAATTATCTGCCTGGAGATAGCCAAAATGTGTAATTCAGGCCAGAGGAGAACGTAAAAGGAGCATAAATGGTGCGTAGATGATACGCGGGCCTTTTGCCCAACTATACTTTGACCCAGTCCAGGAAAACCGGTCCAGGGGCATTGATTTGTGAAGTGACTGGCTGGCTGTCGTGTCCTTGCGAGGCTCGGAAAGTGTTTCACAGCACAGCCCTGAGCCTGCACTGACTGTGTGGGCACGGCGGCCCGGCTGCGCTCCGGGGTTCACGATGCTCCGATCCGCGGGGGCCCAGGGACGCCACTGGAGTCAGGAGCTCTTCCAGATCGGGGTCATTTCCAAACCCAAAGCGCTGCTTTTTTGGACAGAGTGAGTAGACCTGCCTTAGTGCTGGGGACGTGCTTATTGCTGTGTCCACAGCGAAGCGAACTTCTGCGTGGCTCTTAGCAAAGGTGAGATCCAACACATGGCAGTACCCTGGGGTTACTGTGCTGCCTTACAAACTCAGCTGTCAAAAACAAAATTGCAATCTTATGGTATCCTAAGGAAACAGTTTCCAAGCTACTATTTATATTTCAAAAGATAGTTTCCTGTTCTTTTAAAAATACTTTATCCGTGTAGCATATATCAGTAGCTTAAAGAGCTTCCTCAGGATTGACAGAGAGAGTGAAATTAAAGTATTGCGTAGAAGAAATTGCAGAGAACCCGCTTTCATCCTGGAGGATCCAGTTTTCAGGCTTTGAAACCAGAGTTTGTCGTATAACTGCGCAGAGATGCTGAGCCTTCGCTGGAGATCGGGTGATGCTGCCAGGGTTTGCTCTTCGCCGATGGGGAGGCTGGGGCCGCGCGTGGGTTGTACGGCTGCGTGGCTGCGTCCTCCGGAGCGGGACCGGTCCTGCTTTCTGCGTGTTCCCCGTGTCTGGCAGCCAGGTAAGTGTCTGGAGGAATGGGTTAAGCTTCTTAGGGAAATGAAGGACGCGTTCGGCTGTCCTCAGCGACAGTGCTGCGTTCGTGTCGGTGCGACATCCATCCGCAGTTACATTCCACATCTCATTTAATACGAGAATTCTTTTAGCAAAAGCTTTGTCCCGTTGACACACTTGGCCAGTTTTTTTGTGATCCCCATTATGTTTGTCTCTGAGGCTTGGACTTTACCAGGCAGAAGCTAATTACCAGTGGTAGAATTCCTGGGAGGACTGGCACGTTGGAGCGAGCGCCGGGCCCTCCCTAGCCTTGAACGCATCCACAGCCTGCACACTGCAGCCACCTTCCACGAGGACCCGGCGTCTCGACGAGCAGAAACCTGCTCAAAGAGCAGAAACCTGCTCAAAGGCTGCCAGAGGCTCTGCGTGCGGTGTGGGAAATGTCCCTCTGCCGCCTTCCAGATCTGCTGCCGCCTGCGAGGCTTGTGGACAGAGGGAACCAGGATGGGTTGGGTTGTTCAGTGCCACTGCGGTCTGTTCGGAGACGGGTCGTTCCATCTGCAGCCTTACTTACCCCTGCCAAATGGGAGAAAACACGTGCCTGGTAAGGATGAAATCACAGAATCACAGAATCACAGAATGGTTGGGGTTGGAAGGGCCCTCTGTGGGTCACCCAGCCCAACCCCCTGCCCAAGCAGGGTCACCCAGAGCAGGCTGCACAGCACCGCGTCCAGGCGGGGCTGGAATATCTCCAGAGAAGGAGACTCCACAGCCTCCCTGGGCAGCCTGGGCCAGGGCTCCGTCACCCTCAGAGGGAAGAAGTTCTTCCTCGTGTTCAGCTGGAACTTCCTCAGCTTCGGTTTGTGCCCATTGCCCCTTG